AGTCTACCATAGCATCACTAAACTTTTTAAACGACAGGAGCTGTGGTTACTTCTGGATACACAGATCCATACAGCAGGATGTAGGATTTTCCAACAAATCGTGGCTTCTTGTGCAAGACAAAAAGGGGGCGTTGAAGTGCCGTTGTGCTTCCGAAATCGGGTACGATACTTTAAAGGATTTCTTTGACTATTGATTGCTTCCAGGTCCACTTATTATGACTTTCAATCGTGCAAGTCTCATGTGCTTGACATCTGGGGGTATGGTTTTGTGTGGGATCTCTATATGGGAAACACTGGACCTGAAGTAATTCTCCTATGGGAGACACTGCATGTGTGAAACCTGATTTCATTCACAGTTTGAGGCTATCAATGGCAAGATGCGAAAACCTTCAAAAACCCAAGCTATGTCAGGCTATGTCCAACCATTTCGATGCTCATCTGATCGTGAAAGTTGGACTATTTTTCACCAATGCGGGAATCAATCGATACCAGTGGACCAGGGGGTTCAATTGCCAATGATAGCAATGATCATAAGTGAAACATAAGTTATTCTGTAAATGATACCAACATATACCAACCATTGATTAAATCAATAAGTATCATAAGTTCAATCGATAGCAATGATCGATTTGGGCAAGGCTTCCCAGCTCTAAATTGCGCCAGGTGGCACTGGCGTCTCACGAAGGATTGGGGATGGCCTAATACGTGTTTCATATACCGAGGGCACCCAGATACCCAGAGGGGATGGTCATCAATCAATGGGCGATCTTCAGGATCCTAAAATGGAGGTACGTTAGTACCATTTTTCAGACCATATTTTCTGGGGAAATTCCCTAAAAAATAGCCCTTACATAGGCCTTATATATGGTAGGTACCTCCAATTTAGGTTCCTGAGATGGCCAGTGAATCAATCCGTTATGGTGGGATTTATATATCTACTTATTGTAAGGAATCCCTCATGCTGGGATGACATCATCCGCCCATAATTACCACATATTTTGACCATGTTTACACATATGGAATGGAATCATGAACCGTTCTAGAAAAAATATGTAGATGATTTTCATCCACTATGGATAATCCATGCTTATCATACGCCGAAGAAATCATTTATGTCCGTGTCGATTATGAACCTCCCAAGCCCTTTTCCTGTGGGATATGTCGCCCCAGCAGGCGCTTCACGCACTTTACACCACTGAAGCCAGAGGACGGGATGAGGTGATCCTCACATGGTCCGATAGGTATGTTCCATGCATGAGCTTTGATTACCGAGTGCAAGCTATACTATCTATCTATCTATCTATCTATCTATCTATCCATCCATCTATCTATCTATCTATCGATCTATCTATCTCTCTCTCTATCTATTTATCTATCTATCTATCTATCCATCCATCTATCTATCTATCTATCTACCTAATCTACCTAATCTACCTAATCTACCTAATCTATCTAATCTATCAAATCTATCAAATCGATCTAATCTATCAAATCTATCAAATCGATCTATCTATCTATCTATCTATCTATATATATAAATCTATATCTATCTATATCTATGTAAGCAATGGCGAATTGTGATCGGCACCCATGATCTATGAAATTCATGCTGCAATATATGACAGAAACCCCGTGTTGGCTCTTCAAAATCCATGAGTTGTTGCACAAACCTCTGGGGTTGCTATTTTGGTTCACGGGGTCGGGGCCTACCCGACCTGGTGAATGTAGCTGTCCCGCTAGCAGTTCCAGAATTGCAATTCACCCAATGGTTGAACAAGTGCAGCTTCAGACGTGGCCAACCCATCAACCCTAGGTTCGGTGGTCAAATCTGTCATTCCCATGTTGCGATTAAAACATACAAGAACATATTGGAACTGTTCTCAGAAGTCCCAGTGTTTGGTGTTTGAAATCCTAAAAAGTGCCATTTCAGAGGCTCAAAGCAATTTCTACCATGTCTTGCTGGTTCCAAACCTCATTTCTGGTGGTGTATGATGTATATCTATATATATATATTATTATATAGATAGATTATATATATATATACTAGGTACAATATATATATATATAATGTATATAATTCATAATATATAGAATGATACGGTCGCGTTGTAGATTTTCCGGTGCTTCCAGGAGACTAGTCAGCGACCCCAGGCTTTCTTGGCGAAAGTGAAGGGAACCACCAGGTGCTCTGTGAAAAAACGGGTTGGGAAATGCGTAAGGATTCAACAGGGGTTGGTAAATGTCCTGTTTTGGGGATTTTGAACATCACTTCCAAGTATTTGTTGGTGATTATATCCCCAATAGTTGGGTGATGTTCAATTAGGACATTTACCAACCCCTGTTCAATCCAACAATAGCAATGAGCATGTTTCAAGCACAAAAAAAATATTTTCTTCAAGTGATCCCCACCCTGATCCATTATTCTGACATATCATAGTTTCTGACATATCATAGTTTCTGACATACCATCTGGAAGTCATTGGCATATACTCTGAGATTCTTTCTGGCATTCTATCTGGCATCTATTCTGACATACCTTCTGGCATATATTCTGACATTCTTTCTGGCATTCTATCTGGCATGGCATATCTTCTGACATTCTTTCTGGCATTCTATCTGGTATATCTTCGGAGACTCTTTGTGGTTGAGGTCCGGCGGGGAACACTCTGATCCGGAGCTCGCGGTTGAGGTCCGGCGGGGCCCTACCTGATCCAGAACATAAGTGCTGTTCGGGTCCGGCGGGGAACACTGCGATCTAGCGCTTGCAGTTGAGGTCCGGCTGGGAACCCTCTGAATGGAAAAGTGCTTTTTTACGGAGACAGTTGGATGTTGCAGCAACCACCCACTAATACAAGCTTGTCACAATATGAGAAACCGCAGATGTATTGGTCATGTCTGTTGCCAGGCCGTGAAATTTCGGGTATGCCCTTTCAGCCACCCCTCAAATGAGCATTAGCCCCAAGTTGGATGATCCTCCCCAGGCTCAGATTGTCCACGGGCAAAATTGGATCAATCAATGGTGGATGGCCCTCACATAAGTTCACATTCACTCTGGGCACCCTGGACCCTGGCCATTGTTTGGTGGGTGTTCAACTGCTTGGAGAGACGATGAAGGTTGGTACATCACTCCGCATACTCAGCACCATTTGGAAAACAAACTTGGCTGCAGAATCCCCGGTCCGATATACTGTATGCTGTATGTTTGCAGTGACAGTTTATATGACTAGGTAAACATGTTTGGCCATCCAGTCATGCCGTTGGGTTCACAAAGTCGCCATGAAGGATTCACCCAAATGGATGGCAAGATGGGATGGTGAGGCATGATTGACAGGCTAGTTCCATGTTGCAGGTGGTTCTCATTCAAGCGCTAAGACGCTGGACATGCAGCATGCGATGCCTGTGTTGTTTGAGTTTCCACATTGAAAAACCGATTGAAACTTTATTTCGCGGGCAACTCCCCATTTGTGTTGGTTACACATGACGTATCATTACATATACCCATATGTTATAATCAACCCATCGCAACCATATACTTCGATGTTCTAAATCAACCCATGGTAACTACAGAGACATACAGAAACCATTTTCGACTCCAACTGGTTCCCAATGATCCGTCCTTCCGCACCGGCATCTGAAATCCCGAAGGCGGTGGAAACGTTTCCAAAGCGTTCGATGTCAAGAAGGACAAATTCTGTGACTGGGAGAAACATGAAACACATCTTTGTGCCCTTGAAGCAACACACCTCAAATTTGTTGGATGAATTTGCGTTTGTGTACAACCTATTTCTGGTAAAGTTGGGGATGTTTTTAATTTGTTTACCTTTGATCAAAATGATTGCGGAACCACATGATTGTTGATCATTGTACCAAGCATGGGTGACCAATTTTGTTTTCAGTCTTCTATTTTGCCCTGAGCAAAGTTCGCTGGGCGTTTACATTTGAAGAATTTAAGTGTACTTGTAGAAAACATGGTTACCCTACTCTTATGCCAATAAAGGGCCCGCCAGTTGAATATACCCTCTATCCCTCTGGTAATTTAACATAGCTATTGAAAATGGTCATAGAAATAGTGAGTTTTCCCATTAAAAATGGTGATTTCCAATAGTTACGTCAACGTTTACCAGAGGGTAACTGATGACTTCCAGTTGACTTCCTGTCCTGTTCCTTCTTTGTACATGTTTGGGATGGCCATTAGTGAACCATGTCACCGGTCCCATTGGGGTCTGAACTTCAATATGGTTTTGTTCCCGATTGGCTTGATGTAACTCGGTAAAGTGAAGATGAAAAACCATATTTAACCATGATAAATCATATAAATCACCAAAATTTGGTATTCCCTATGTTCAGGCATACTGATTTTAAGGCAGTTTAATGCATGGCCATGGGTTCAAGGGATAAGTTTCGGGCAGGGCCACAGACCACCGCCACCACCGCCATGGTTCGCGTGTGGCGCATCCTGTGGCTGAGCATGAGTGCGGCCATGGCGCAAGAAGGCCAAGCCAGGGAATGAATGGTAGGTCGGTGCATGGAATGATGCTTATATACACGTAGATGGCAAAACTATGTGAAAGATAGGTGTATATATATATATATTATTGTTGTTCAATATTCCTACATGTGATATATCTATATATACATATGAGATACATATGTTATATATATATATAGCAAGATGCGACATGCTATTATATGCCTGAAAGGTGTTGTTTGCAGGCTATCTAGCCGGCTAGGCCTTAAAATGCAGCCAGCCCATGTGGAAAGGAGTTGCTGAGCCACGGGTCCCGGTTCCTATCTTCAATGGATGAGCATGTGAAATGGGCATGTTGAGGGCAGGTGAGTCTGACGGCTGAAAAACCCTGCGGTAAACTAACATAGATGTGGAAAACCAATGCCAGCGATGTCCAGTAGGTTGCAGAAAATGATGCTTAAGGAAACTATTTTCCATGCCCACCATCGAGGCTGCATGCCGACCAGAAACAATGTGGCGCAAAGCCCGCCATTCACAGGTCCAAAAGGTCGCATAGCCAGCCGAGAGATTGCAAACCAAATGCCAGCCACTTCTGCACAGGATGAAGGGACCAATCCTCGCAGCACTGGACGGCTGCCAACCACGGATGACCCCGTCCATCAAATTTGCAGGTTTCCAGCCTGTTGTTGTGCGTGCCGTTGTCTCCCAAGTTGACAACACAAGAAGCGTAGTCATCTGTTCTGAACTTGTGGACCTGGAACTCACGAGCATTCTGCCAAACCTCCTTCCAAAGGCATGTGGATAGGAAGTTTGGAGCACCCAAAGATGACCAAGACAAAGACTACATGTTCTATTCCAAGGACAAGATTGCCAGCTTGGTACTGTGCACCGTCCAAACGCACACATCTGAGTATCCAGCAAATTGAGCAAAGGGAGTCCACCAAACAAGTATCATGAACGAGACGTTGCAACCAATCCTCAAAAACTCTGCTGAAATCAGTGTGACCACTGATGTTTGAGCCTAGACTATATTAATCATATATATATATGCGGAGCGCAGCGGAAGGTTGCAGCTTTTTCACAGCCGCAAGGCTTGTGTTTCCCCACACAAGAAGGGCTTCTCGAGCCCACGTCCGCTGACACACAGCGAAAGGTTGAAAACAGCAACAGGCTTTGTTCAAGGTGGTGTTCCCTATACAAATCCACATGCACCACAACTTATGTTGAACAAAGCATGTATTTCAACTAGTCGTTTGTAGCCCGTCTCCGTTAAGTACCATTTTCCAAGGTGCATAATTCTGCTGAGGAACTTGGGTGCCGCCCTTTTGGTAAGAGAGTCGGATACCATGTTAGATCCACCAACCCAACGGACCTGGCCGCCAGTGGTCTCAAGGTCGCCTTTCAAGATGGTCAAGTCAATGGCCGTCCTCTTGTCATCGATGTGCGCCGAAGTGTTCCTGCATTTCGTGATCGTGTCATAGAGCGACCGGGAATCTGTCACAGCAATGAATGGCAGCTTACCAAGTTGGCGCTCCCAGTTCTCCAGTGAAAGGTCCTTTGCTAAGACCTCTGCCAAGAGGAACCGATGCCAATGGAGGTTGCCAATCCCCTGTAGCATCGATTGGCATTCTGCTGATAGGGTGTTGACGGTACACCTCTTCAGCTTGTAGCTTTTCCAGCTTGCAATTGTGATGTTGGCCATGTCGTCGGTGGTCTCCAACTTGTCATCGTAGTAGATCAAGAGGTAGCCACCTTGGCTATGCTTCTTGGCAAGTTGGAGAAAACGTTCGTTGATGGGTCTCCGGGTCTCCTCTTCAATCTCGGTCTTCTGAAACGTGGTTGTTCCTGTCCATGGCTCGTTATGCTTCTCCCTGATGGCCTCCTTGTCATCCCAATTGTCCGTCATCTCCTTGTTGTTACAGATCGTTGATCTTGTCCTCGAGATCTTATGTAGATCGGGTCCATGGGGTGCAGCACCAGGGTGGAAGAGCAGTCTCCTCGGCAGGACGTGATGTCGTACCCAGCTGAATTCCGTCTCTTCCCAGTAGTCCTTGTTGTTCTCTTCCATGTAGTTGCCTCCGGCATTTCCTCAGCTGGCATCAGTGACGACCCCAACTCGAAGTCGTTCCATAGGGATCGGTTGTATCAAGATCCCCAGGCCAGGGTCCTTCTTCAGCTCCTCGGCCACGGCATTGGCCTCGATGATGTCTTTGATAATTGGAAGTGGCATCGACTGTTGGAGCAGTGCCACTCGGCCGGCCACGTCTGGCCTGGTTTCCTTGGCGACCCATGCCAGAGCTCCAAGTAGGGTTCGCAGCTGGTTCACCTCAATGGCTGAGCATGTAGAGTACCTTTGTCGTTTTCGTTCTCGTTTCATAGGGATCAGATTGACCTTCTCCTCGATATAGGTTTTCTGGTGTAAGAGGATGGCGCCACTTGGTTGTTGCTCGATGGTCTTTCCAGTGAACTTTCCGTTTCCAGTGGTGTATTTTCCCATCTTGTACTGGGAACGGAGCCATTCCATATGTTCCCAGTAAGCCGCTTCTCCACCATGTAGCATGTCATCGGTGGCCAAGGCGATGATCCCGATGAGCTTCTGTTTGTCTTGGTCGAACAGCTGGAACAGACACGGGTCTGCCCTACTTCTCTGGTATCCCCTGCCTTCCAACACTCGGGATAGGTGTTGGTACCATGCGTATGGACCATCAGTTAATCCATAGCATGTCTTTCGAAGTCGGAGTAGTTGCCGAGGATGAAGGCCAGGAATCCCTTCTGGAGGAAGAGAGCAGTACAGTTCTCTTTGAATCTGGTCTCCTGAGTGGAAGGCCTGGGTGAAGTCCAGATGACCAATCATCCACTGATGACTGGCCAACATCTGAAGTGTGAACATCACGGTGTCCTTGGCAACCTGTGGAGTTGTTGACTCCAGGTTCTCGGCGTTAGCCTCTGAGTATCCCTTCATTACATGGCGGGCTTTGGCCTTCAGCATTTCACCAGTTTCGTCATCTAGTGGCAGGCCCTCCTTCTTCAGAACTTCTACTTCGTGAGGTTCAACGGCCTTCTCAGTGAGGACATACCTGCTCTTCATGATCAGGTCCCCCTTCTCCCTTCTAATCCTCTCAGATTCTTCTCTGCTCAGTACTTCATATGCTCCTGACTTCAGGTTGTTCTGGATCTCCTTGGAGATAGCTCGGTCAAACTTCTTCTTGTTGGTCAGCTGTAGTCGGCCGTAGGAGACTTCTTTCCTGTTCCGGGTCATCGTGATCTTCTCAAGCACGTTGTAGAGAGTCTCTAAAAGTTCCATTCGGTGTCGTTTAGCAGGAGGTTCTCCTTCTTCTGGATGATCGGCATGTCGAACTTGTCCACGATGATGTTCTTCAGCAGGAGGTAGTGCATCGTTGCCGACCCTCTCATCTTCCGTCTCGTCCGGTAGCGGTGTAGTTGGCACCACGTCTGGGGAGTCAATCTCTGGCTGTTCTTCCGGGTCATCAAAGATGCCATCGTCAGGCTGGATGCCCTCAGGGATGGCTTCAGTCAGTGGCGGTTCCACCAAGGTACTCCCTGCAGGTTCCGGCGGGTTCAGCTTCTGTCGTTTCTCATCATAGATATCTGGTTGAAACTCAACCTCGGCCGCTGCATGCTTTCCTGTCAGTCTGAACTTCGGTTTTTGTGGTGGGATCTCCTCGTCATCCTCAATGGTCTGGTCCTCCTCCGGGGGTTTCTCATCGAGGACGATGTAGCCCTTGAAGTCCTTTTCCTGAAGCTTCTTCTTGGTCTCCACAAGGTCCTGGATCCAGTCGGTGATGACAAACTTCTCCTCGTCCACTGCCGGTCGTAGATGTTCAGGACTTGCTTTCACGACGTGGCTGCGATGTGCAACCCATACAGTGTTGGGTAAGTTGGTCAAAATGACCTTTGCCGGTCCATGCCAGAATGACGGGTTGTCCTTCTTGGCTCCCTGCATGCCCTTCTTCCAGTAGTACACCGTTTGACCTACTTCATAGTGATGCCATTTTCGATGTCCAGCATGTAGTGCATTCCGTAGGGCCTGGTCACAGTCCGCCTTGTGATAGGCAATGGCTGCGGCTTGTCGTAAATCTGCAGAACGTTGTACTTGGAGATCACCAGCCTGGTACCTTGAAGCGGTGGCATGGTCGTTGAAGCCTCCACTCAGGTTAGTTCCAGGGATTCGAGGACTGTACCCCAGCATTCTCTGGACGGGGCTAAATCCCGATTTGTTGGCCAGTCGGTTGATCGTGGCCGTGGTCACATCAACTGCCTCGTGCCATTCTTCCCAGGTAGTACAGGTGACTTCCATAAGTGTCCTTGAAAGTACCTCCTTAAAGGACTTGCCGGCCCTCTCAGTGATTGACCTTTGGGTTGGTGTTTCTAAGGCCCCGGGATCCAAGACGATGGATTGCTGGTCCATCATGTTCTGAAAGCATCCACGGAACTCCTTACCCAGGTCGCTGTAGATTCGCTCGGGAGGTCCAAAGATGCGGATCCATTGGAATAGGGCCCGTGAGGCGGATCGCGGTGTGTGATCCTCCAGCGGTATCACCAGTTGAAACCTGGTAGCCCAGTCTACTATGTTGAGAGCCATCCTCAGTTTGCCCCCTGCTTTCAGACCTGGTAGATGGACTGTATCCACTCCCACTACTTGGTTCGGAGTGAAGTCTCGTGGTGGTGCTGCAGCCCTAGCAGGGGCAATCCTCTTGTGTTTCTGGCAAACATCACATGTCAGTTTCTTTGCGTACTCAATGGCCTCCTTCTTGGCCCCTGCATTCTGCAAGATCCTTGCTAACTTGTCGTTTCCGATGTGTCCCAGTCCACAGTGGGCCCTCCGTACCAGTTGGAAGGTGTTCAGGCCTCGTTCTCTTGGTAGTCGTCGTCCAGGCAGATCAGCCTGTCCCTCTGCTGGCTCCTCAATCACCGCATCATCGACAAGGGCGTTCTCGGGCTGTACGTCGGCATTCTCCTCAGGGTGGTCTGTGGCCATATACTCATGAGCTTTCAAGTTGAAGCATTCGAGGAGGACATTCTCAGTGCGGTAGATCTCGTTCATCAGGCCGTCCAAGGTGGTGACATGGATGTGGTGTCGCACGCTGTGCTCCTGGTCGATGGTGTCGGCGTATGCCTGCAGGATGGTTCGTACCAGTTCAGCTGGATACTCCTGGGCCTGTTTTGCCCTAGAGCCACCAGGACCATTGCCAAACACTGGCCGGTGGACGTGATCCTTGCCACAGACCTTTGAGAGCCTCTCGGCAACAGTTTGGTTATTGGTCAACCAACCGGTCGGCTTCTTGTACCTTTCACCTTCAGGAGCCTTCAAGTTGAACATGCATTGATCATTTCGTACCATGAGTGTGTCATGTAACCGTGCAAGCAGCTGTACACGTGGTTCTGACCATGCTTTGGAAGTGAGTGGTTGCTCAAAAACAAACGTCCCCCCATATGCCCTGACAAGTTGACAAATTTCACATGCAAAATTCAGCAAGACCTTTGCCTCAACAAGCCTTTTGAGAAATTCCCTATCTTTTTGGGGGTCTTCCCGATGCTTCTGGTTGAGGTTCTGGAGAATGCTGAACATGGTGCAAGGCGATGACACAAGTATGCAACCCGGTTTCACACTCTGGACATACCTTCGGACCTCTTGCCTGTTCTTCGCTTTCAAAAGATCATGTCCTAAGGTCAAATCAAAAGCCATGCCTTGAGTAAGACCTACACCTGATGCCTGAGGACCAAAACGTTTTGGGTTGAACACTTCGGCAACCACTCGGGCTTGTTTGTTTGTCACGCCCATCAGTCCCGCAAGTCGGCGAAGAGGTTTCTTATCCTTGATCCTGGTTGGATCTGTTGGATCAAAAATTTCAACAGCGTACTGTTCAAACACTTGCTGAGTGGTCCGGTCGGGACCTTCGCCAAGAAGGGCTATAATCTCCTTCCACATGACTTCGGTCTGTGTCAAAGCAGCCCCAGCTTTCCGAAGTAGTTGTTTCACACCCCTACTTTTCAGGTCAACAGCCTCCTCAGCATCTGTGTTGTTTGGGTCACTCAACGGTTGACCCGGGATCCTGTCCAGACCCCTGCCGGTTCCAGTGCCTGGGACCTCTTCCACTCCAGGAACTCCTCGTAGGTGGGCTCGTTCGGCTCCAGCTTCTTCTTGCGATTCTTCTCGCGTTCCTTCTCCTTCTGGATGCCGACTTCGGTGAGCTCCTCCTTGGTGATCTTGCCGCAGATGGCACACTTCTCCTGGATCTTGAACTGGTTGGAGCCCGATTTCAGCACCTTCTCGTGCTTGCAGTGCCGTTGTGCCTGCTGTAGGAGTTGGGATGCCGTAGAGCTCCTCCGTGACGTAGTGCTCCTCCGTGTTGTAGTTGATACCACCGTCTCGGTGTCCATCTCCTCCTCGGATGCCTCGATGAGGTTCGTGTTGAGGTAGGGCTGGATCAGAGTCCACATGAAGGTCCGGCACTGTTGATCGCGGGGATGTGCGCAGCGCCAAAACAGCTTGTGGTAGTTGGGACCCTGCCTCTGACATATTAAGAGGCGCGTGGCCTCCCCATGCTCGCACTGAACTGGTGGTCCCACCATTCGAAGGATCGCATCCGTGATGAGCTCATTCCCCATGTAAGAGCTTGCCTGAGACTTCTGGCTCTTGGCTGGCGATGACGGTGGGATCAGTTCGAAGCTGCCCTCGGTCGGTGCCACTCTGGTAGTTCTCGGTTTCCCGGACGAAGTGCTCGGGTTCAAGTGATCTGGTTGGTGACGTAGAAGACGGAAGGCCAGCGCGCTGAAATTCCGCATGATGCTCATCACCCTCACCAGTAGCATGTGCCACGCTGACAGGATCTTGAAGCTGTTGTCCTGAGTGCGATTGCGTTTCCTCTCGGTCTCCATCATGGTTGACAGCACCGAAAGTTGAACCTGGAACGGTCGGGCTTTTTCCTGTGCCAGACTTGACGGCAACATTCGATACCTCAGGTTCAGTTCTGAAAACTTCAAACTCCGTTCCAACACTGTTGAGATTTTCTTGCGTTTGTTTCAGGTGTTTGATTTGTTCAGATGAAAAATTGCACAAAGGAATACGCAAAGCACCAGTGGGACCTAGGTGACAGTCAACAGAAAAATTGAACTTCTTGAAATGGATCTTCAAACCGTTTTGGGGGTCCAAGTACAAAACTGCACGGCAAAACATCAAGAAAGGCAACGAAATAAGGAAAGGGGCATGTTTACTCTCTTCATTTTCAAAAACCGCAGGCTTTAAAATGCTTCCCTTCTTACCCAGTCCTGTTGGCACTGCTGCTACATGAGTTGTAGATGACCTTCCATGAACAGAACGGAACCGATGTTCTTGGGGTTGAAGTTGGACACCTAGTTCTTCTGGAAGATGTGGGGAGAGTCGCCGAAGTGTCTCATACCCTATGGCCATTCTTTGACATCCAGTGTCAACTGTTGCACATGCTTCTTCCGGAGGGTTAGTAGAAACCAACTTGGTATTAGACAACCCTTCCCCAAAAAGGATCTCCCAGTCCTCATCCCCAACATTGCGGTCCTTATACGGGGACGTGGGCTGGCAATCAGCTACATTGGAATTGGGCTCAGGTTCAGCTACCGCAAAACTTCCCACTGGTGGGGAATCTAAGCTGGCTACTGCACTCAGGGTTTCTCCGGTGGTCTCATGGTCTAGAAGACCGCAGAAAACAGCTTCTTCTGTTTCCAGAAGATGTTGGTCACGTTCTCTGGGAGGCTCTGTGCACTCACGGTGCCAATGTCCAGTGCGGAGACAATTCCCACAGCGGGTGATCTTTTTGATTTCTTCTATGGACATCTTGTACTGACCTGCTTTCCAAGGAGGCTTGCCGGTGTTGCTGACGGTATAGGTGTTCTTGCCTTTGCCTTTGCTCGGAAAGTTTCCAGACTTGTATCCTCTGCCAAGTTCCTTGCTCTTCTTCGCCTTTTGGGTTTGGACGAAGCTGCGTTTCTTCGTCAGGATCGTGTTGAGGATCTCTGCTGCCTCGTGCTCGTCCAAGATCTGCGTCTCCTCGTCCTCAGCGCCAACAGGTTGATCGCCTCAATGGCATGAATCTCCTCATCGTCATTCTCGCTCTCCTCCTCGGCGACGAAGAAGTTGCCGCTCGCCTTCGTCGAGCTGGCCTGGTTCTTCTTGGGGTCAAGGCCAACCTGTGCCACTTGTAACTTTGTTTCATGCTTCCTGACCCAGTCCTTGATGTCAGGTGGCATGATGCTGCCACGGGTATAGTTGAGGAGCGACTTGATCTCCGGTTCGGTCAGGTTGAGGGCATTCACCAAGAGGAAGCCGATGTACTTGTCCGGCAAAAAGACCTTGTGTTCGGCCACCTTGCGCATGGCAGTCTCCCATCTATTGAAGAACTGTCTGTGCGCCTCCTGTCTCTCCCTTCTCACATGGTAGGTGATCTTGGCTAAGGCACCTAACAGATCCTCGTCTCGGTCGTCGCCGAAGTACTCAGCCTTGTCCATCATGTCTATGAGATCCTCACCAGTGGTCTCACTGGCCATCCATTTGCGGTCCTTGGCCAAGAACTTCATCGTCTCGAAGGGCACCTTAGCTAGTCGTTGGAGTAAGAGAGGCCCTCTTGTGCGGGGTTTTGACCGTGTTGTAGCCAGCCATAACCTCGCCTTTATGGCGTAGTCTTGGAACGACAAACCATCGCCGTCCCACTCCGGTGCAGGTCCTGCATTGGTCCTGCTTCCATCTCCATCTCTGTCTCGGGAGCCATCACTGCTGTCACGACGGCGATCTCGGTTTCGCCGTCCTCCAGCTCGACTCCTGTTTCTCATCCATTCTCGGAACTCTTCACTGTCAAACCCATCATCATCATTGTCCTCACCATGGACTTCATGTGCCTCGTTTGAGGCCGTGCTCGGCCTCGAGCGTCCAGGCCTGCTTTGGCCCACGGTCGCATGACCGTCATTCGGTGCCTCGTCACTGCCCTGTGACGACGGGGGCACCGGCTGGTCCATGTCCAAGCTCCGGTTACCACTTGCGGAGCGCAGCGGAAGGTTGCAGCTTTTTCACAGCCGCAAGGCTTGTGTTTCCCCACACAAGAAGGGCTTCTCGAGCCCACGTCCGCTGACACACAGCGAAAGGTTGAAAACAGCAACAGGCTTTGTTCAAGGTGGTGTTCCCTATACAAATCCACAATACAATATCATATAATTAAGGTATATCATATAGGGTGTATGTATATATATATAAATAGATAGAGAGAGAGAGAGACTGTATAGTCTATAAATAGATTGATATAGCACATAGTATATCTATATGTCATATATTACATATATTACATATATATTACATATCTCATCTAATATATATATATACATATACCATATTATATGTATAACGATTATACACATTTCTATTCGGATGGCCTCCACACTTCCCCCTTGTTACGCCTGGCGCTTGTACTCGCCAGTCGCCGTGGCGATTGATGACGCGCATGCCCTGCCTGAAGAGAGTCATGTTTCCGGAAGCTCGGCTGGGCACGGGGAACCCACGGGGAATCCATGGGGAATGTGCCGTAGAAAGACCGTAGAAAGACAAAACTGACGCTTGACCTGACGCTTAGGCAAAATCCCCATGAGTCGGTAGATAGATGATGATAGATGGATTTCCCAGTTTTCCCACCAAGTCCAAGTCAATAGTTGACTAATTATATGGCTAATAGCCTGGCTATGGGTCAAACTTTATATTTCAGACCGTGGGGACCACATATCTTTAAAAAATAACTCTCTTATCATAGCACCCATAGGATCCATGTATGGTATATATGCTAACATTGGGGGTATATTGATGGTAAAATGTTACCATATATAGCATACATGGATCCTATGGGATATCATATAATTATATCACGTTAAGCGTCCAATGATTGAGGTACCCAATTTGACCTATGGACTTGATGGACTTGGCCTGTTTGGAGTTGGATCTCAGTAGACGACGATATCCCCAAACACCAGCCGCTACATGGCTATTTCAGGTACCCGAACTGGACGTACAATGTGAGGCCCCCAAGATAGCTAAGTTGGTTTATAACTTCAACAACTATGGTTTATGGTACTTATAACTATAGTTACTGGGGCTTATAAACCAACTTATAACTGGGGGGCCTCACATTGTACCATATTTGGGGGGTATATTCCCTTACATAGCCCGAACATAGAGACATAGATCTTATGCGTGGTAGGTACTGTATCTCCAATTGAGGCTCATGAAATGGCAACTGACTCCAACTGGATTATATGACATTGTATAACATCATAAACTGGGGGTATCCCTATAACTATGTGAATAGCAAGCTAGAACGCTGCATCGTTATAAACCGCTTAATGATATTATGTAATTATTCGTGACAATGTATTTTATGTCAAACAGGGGTCTTGTTCGCGATCCATGGTTAGGTTCTGAACGAGGTATGGGGGACTCCAAACGTCAGACGGTCCGCACTCTAAGAGTCTAAGAGTACATTTTTTGCTAAACATGGGTATTTGTTATTCGTTTGAGCGAGATGTTTGATTGGCTATTGGGATACATCAGTTACATCAGCCATAGTTTTGGGCACCAGCATTTTGACCCATACTGTACCCATTTTTGGAAGAATTTTGAACCTAAAACCCGTTGTCGGTGAGTGGACTGCACTGTATATCCCAACATATGAAAGGTAACTCATCCCCACAATATTCAAATAACCCCGAAAGAAGGGATGCTCGAAAGTGAATACATCCAATATATACCAGGGTTTCTGGGATTTTTCTAGAATTCTGTAGGATTGAACCAACCCATGGATCCAAGCATTTTTCGAATGCCGAGGTGAGGTCTATGCTGAGGCTAGGGCTAGGGCTGGGGTGATTCAACCAACCCAAGGCAACCCCTGGAGGGAACTATTAGTGGTGGTGTCCATAGTCATGGGGGTACCTCAATAGCTGGATGGTTTATTTCAATGTTTGTTTCATGGAAGATCCGAAACTAACATGGATGATTTAGAGGTACCCCCTATTTTAGGAAACCTCCATTGAAGGGTTCTATATAGAGAGCGGGTAGTCATGGGGGGCGAGGTTGTGAAAGTCCTGATTTTGTAATATTAGTCATTAAATTCATAATTATATCAGTCATTACATTAATCATTATATTAATCATTATAATATTCATTATATAAGTCATTAAATGAATCATTAGACTAATCATTATATTTATCATGATATGAATCATGATATTAATCATTATATTAATCATTATATATATGTAAAATCATTATATTAGTCATTTTATAAACCATTCAAAGAAACATTCAAATTAATCATTATATGTATCATTCTATGAACCAATTATATCGTTATATTGTTCATTCATCAATCATGATATTAATCGTTATATTAGTCAATGATTTAAAAAATATATCAGCATTACATAAATCATGATGTTAATCATTTTATTAGTCATTATATAAGTCATTAAATGAATCATGAAATGAATCATTATATTTATCATGAAACGAATCATGATTTTAGTCATTGTACAGAAAATTATACTAACCATTAAATTAATCATTCAATGAATCATCATATATATAATCATTATTTTAGTCATTATATAAATCATTATATTAGTCATTTTATTAATCATCATATTAGTCATTCAAATTAATCATTATATTATTCATTATATTAGTCATTGAATTAATCTTTTTACTAGTCATGATATTCATCATTTCATTCATCATGGTATGAATTATATTAGTCATTACATTAATCATTATATTAATCAGTATACTAATCATTTTAATATTCATTATACTAGTCAGTATATTTGTCATTTTATTAATCAGTATATTAATCATGTTATTAATCATGAAAAATACATATATAATCATTATATTAGTCATTATATTAGCCATTTCATTTATTTTTACATTAATCATGAAATTAATCATGATAATAACCATGAAATTAATCATTATACCAATCATTAAAATCATCATTATATTAATCATTATATTAATCATTTCATTAATCACTCAATTGATCATTATAGAAATATTATCATGATATTAGTCATTATAATATTATAAGTCATTAAATGAATCATTAGATAAATCATTATATTTATCATTATATGAATCATGATATTAATCATGATATTAATCAGTATTTTAATCATTATATTAGTCATTATATAAGTCATTAAAAGAATCATTAAAAATAGTTTTATCATTCTATGAATCATGTTATTAATCATTATATTAGTCAATAAATGAAAAAATATATCAGCCATTACATAAATCATTATATTAATCATTATATTAGTCATTATATGAGTCATTAAATGAATCATGAAATGAGTCATTATATTTATCATTATATGAATCATTATAATAATCATTTTATTAATAACTATATTAGTCAGTGCATTAGTCACTATATTAATCATTTCATTAATCATTATATGAATCATGATTATAATCATGATATTGATCATTTTATTAATCATTATATGAATCATGATATTAATCATCATATTAAGCATGAAATTCATAATTAAAACAATGATGACATTGATCATTATATTGATCATTATATTAGTCATTTTATGAACCATGATATTATTTATTAAATAAATCATTATATAGATATAATCATCATATTAGTCATGATATAAGTCATTAAATGAAGTTTGGTTTTCCATGTTTTTTGCAATTTAGCCTGGGGGGCGCAGGTGTGCAAATTGTAGAAACGCGCATTTTTTGAGAGGTACTGTGATGAAAGCATATTCACATGAAAAACATGCAAAAAAAATATGGAAAAATCAAAAAAAAAATCAGACCCATGGGCAAGGTCTGGGGAGAGGCCTGGCTGGGGACATGGGTCTGAACTTGTTTTTTTTTGTTTTTCCATGGTTTTTTGCACTTTGGCCAAAACCTCGAGAAAACAAAAAAAAACAAAAAAAACAAAAAGTTCAGACCCATGGGCAAGGTCTGGGGAGAGGCATGGGTCTGAATTTTTTGTTTTTTTTGTTTTTTGGTGTTTTTCCATGGTTTTTTGCAGTTTGGCCAAAACCTCGAGAAAACCAAAAAAAAAAAAGTTCAGACCCATGGGCAAGGTCTGGGAGAGGCCTGGCTGGGGACATGGGTCTGAACTTTTTGTTTTTTTTTTGTTTTTTTTGTTTTTCCATGGTTTTTTGCAGTTTGGCCAAAACCTCGAGAAAACCAAAAAAACAAAAAAAACAAAAAGTTCAGACCCATGGGCAAGGTCTGGGGAGAGGCCTGGCTGGGGACATGGGTCTGAACTTTTTGTTTTTTTTGTTTTTTGGTGTTTTTCCATGGTTTTTTGCAGTTTGGCCAAAACCTCGAGAAAACCAAAAAAAACAAAAAAAACAAAAAGTTCAGACCCATGGGCAAGGTCTGGGAGAGGCCTGGCTGGGGACATGGGTCTGAATTTTTTGTTGTTTTTTGTTTTTCTGGTTTTTCCATGGTTTTTTGCAGTTTGGCCAAAACCTCGAGAAAACAAAAAAAAACAAAAAAAACAAAAAGTTCAGACCCATGGGCAAGGTCTGGGGAGAGGCCTGGCAGGGGACATGGGTCTGAACTTTTTGTTTTTTTTGGTTTTTCCATGGTTTTTTGCAGTTTGGCCAAAACCTCGAGAAAACCAAAAAAAACAAAAAGTTCAGACCCATGGGCAAGGTCTGGGGAGAGGCCTGGCAGGGGACATGGGTCTGATTTTGCATGTTTTTCATGTGAAGATGCTTTCATCACAGTACCTCTCAAAAAATGCGCGTTTCTACAATTTGCACACCTGCGCCCCCCATGAGTACCCCTTCTGTTTATATAATGGGGTGCGTGAGTGTACATATATGTACATATACTGTGGGATCCAGAATGATTCTAGGATTCATGGATGAGCTTACTGACTAGCAATAACGACACGAGGGTGAATCTGAATGATAAAAGTGTGCAGCGGGTGCTGATTGAATCTGCATGACTCGCATGACAGTGATTCACTACAGTTGACAGCATGCTCAAAGAGGGAATCATTCATTATATATGCAAATATAGACGTTCGGAATATGGTCAACATAATATGGTTAACCTCAAGCATTGGGGTGCAGCAAAACAACGATTGAGACACAACTTAAGAATGTGGAAATTGAATTGCCAGCTGAATATTTAATTTGGAAATCAATGTCTTCGCATGGATATCGGAATATTTTGCTAGACACCTTTGATCTGTGGGTCCCCAACATTCCCCAACTCTACAGAGCCATCTGCTATACCTGTAAAACCTCTATCAACACCATCATCACCTGGAGAGGCGCCGAAGGACGGGCGTTTGTGCACCACTGTGGATGGCAGCTGCTGGGTGGATGCCGAATGCTGCTCGGGCAGGCGCGCTACGGTTGGAGGGAAAAGTGACGTGTATCAGAATATACAATATCAAAATTATTATTAATATGATTATTAATATATTGTTAATATTATTATTGTTTTATGATTTTATAATCATTATCATATTATTTACATACGTATATATATATACATATGTACATATTATATTTTATAATATATACATTATATATTATATATACATTATATATTATATATAATTTTATATTATAGATATATATTATAGATATTAACTTATATTATGTTGTTGAAACTGATAGTATGATAATATGTGATGTCTGGAGCACGGGTGTTTACCCAACAAACTTATGCGGGGACAACCGTCTTATGGAGATATCATGAGATTTTTATTGGGATATGGAGGTTTCCTAAAATAGAGGTACCCCCCAAATCATTCCAGATCAGATAATTCTACTATTGAATCCTATGTTTAAAATGGGGTCCCCCATTTTAAGACATCCCCATGTAGTACTGTATATAGATATGAAAACATGTTAGTATATAGTATGATATATGCAAACAGATAGATGGGGATATGGGTATAGAATATTTGGGATATAAGTACAAGTAGCTATCTATGTTGATATTAGATACATTTTATGGGGTACACAAGAAATCATCAAAATGGGAGGCAAGACCAAGCACAATTGGGTATCTACGAGTTACAGTGAGTGGTGTATGATTACCCTCTGGTAAACGTTTACATAGCTATGGAAAATCACCATTCTTAATGGGAAAATCCACTATTTCTATAGCCATTTTCAATAGCTAACTGTTAGTTCACCAGAGGGTATCCCATTAAATCCCATTAAACCACCATAAACTCTCATTAAACCACAATTGTCCTATGGTTTTCCTATGGTTTTCATGCCATTTTTAGCATTGTTGGTTATCTAAGGGCAGCCAGCCGCTGATCACCTGTGGTGATCACCGAGTGATCACGATGAACAACTGCCCCGAATTGTGTGGTGCCCCGAAAATCGTGATTCGTTGGTAAACCCCATGAATTAGATATCTATGTATATAATATATATATACTTATGTGCTCTACACCCTAGTTATAGTTATACTAGTTATAAACAAACTTAGCTAACTATGTGGTAGCTGATCTTTGGGCTTGTGGATGACAGCAGCACACGGTGTCAGGTGTCAATTTAACATAAAAAAGTGCAGACCTATTCGCTGAGAGGCGCAGGCGGGTGCTGCACAAACATGCAACAACTATAGACGCTGCGGGTAGACGACCTTGGTAAAAACCGTAGTCTCCGGAAAAAAAAAAGAAACATTTTGGATCTATAGTATCTTGAAAAGACGGATGCAGCATGTGCGGTCGACACAATCTCCTTGGTGCATGTCATTCTCAGCGAAGAACTGTCCATCTCCGGTGCTTCTTTGATTTGAAAGGCAATGTGGGCCTCTTATGTTTTAAGTTGGCTTATGAATCCAACTGTACGTCCACCATAAACATCCATCAGGAAAACATCTAGACATATGTCGCCTAGCTAAAAACCAAATCATTTAAGGAGATCCTACTCAATCCTACTCATATGACTAGTATCACCCCAGGTATGATTGACTAGGTAATCATCCACGATATACTGGGATGATATTTTATCTTCCACTGGGATATTCTGGAGATGATACAAGTCATCACTTCCAGTCCAGAGGCTTCATACTTTGGAGTGCAGTTCCATTTATAAGCGGAATTATTTCACCATAGGATACCACATGAAATATTCAGTTATACATATATATATATGTGGATTATATATATATATACTACTTACCAACTGGGATGCACATCCAAGTATCATACCTGTCCTTTTTCGTCCCTGCCAGGGCCCCTTGAGCTCCTTGCAACGCCATGGGCCCGCCAATGAGCCATTGGACGGCATGAACCATGGCCTTTTGTTGGTCATATCGCAGTTGTGGACGGATGCTAGATATGATGCCATGATAGAAACATGGAACATGTCCCCAAGTGCTGTTGGTTCATGTCAGCTTCCTGTGTCCAAAGCATGGCTGAAAATTTTGTGCAGCGATGCCCTGCACGGCAGCAACCGACTGAGTGGCGCGAACGTCAAAATTAATGGAATGCTTAAAGGGAGCGCAATTGCCTAGTGAGTGTTGCTGGAGACTTTGTAAGGATGCCATGGTTTCGATCCCCAATTTATTTTTATATAATTTATGTGAATAAGCGAATGGACATACACCAGATAAACCAAGATGAAGCAACACAAATTGGGTATTTATATCCCCCTCTGTATCCTGGTGAAAAAAGTGCTGACTGGGTTTTGCACATCTGGTGTCTTGCCACATTTCTGTAGTAGAAAACCACAGTTCACAATTCACTGAACATGTGCCCCTTGCAGTTCAACACAGCTATGGAGAATCACCATGTTTAATAGTTAAATCATCCATAAATGAGCAATTTTTTAAAGCTGTGTTTCAGGAGAGTAAAGTTCAAAAACCTGGTCCATGTATATATATGACATGAAAGTCATACATGTATGATCCATTTGAACTACCTTCCAGTAAACTAAAAGCGTTATATGATCTACTTTCATCGTATGTTTCCCATATAGATTTGTTAGTTTACTGGAGGCTATTAAGGCTATATCCGATATCCCCCATCATATCCCACTCTTGGCGAATGTCAACCTAGTCATATGCCCATACATGAATTGTTATGGTCATTATAAGTGCCCTTGTCAAAAACATCGATTGCATACCGTCATGTTGGGGGGATGACCGTCAATCCGTTTTCAGTCTCATGTAATTTGGATTTCCATGGCATGGGATGACCATAAACCATCAATACCATGTAAGTTGATCGCAGCACATATCCCATATTGTAGGGTTTATTCCATGGTTACTTACCCATGGTTACCCTCCGGTACTTCAACATGGCAATGGGAAATCACCCCATTTGATTACAGACAGATGATGTTCCTCTTAAAACTTCAATTTATGGGGGATGTCTAATTGCCCATGATTATTATACATATATATATATAGATACATAATATGTGACTAGGGGGCTGACATTTGCCCGAAATCCACGGAATTCCATGCGAGAATGCAATCTGCTGTGTTGTTTCGGTGCGTCTTTCTCGCAAACTGGGAGCATTCAAAGTATTGATGTTACTTTCGTCTCATGGCATTTTTGCGCTTGCCTAAGACAGTGCCAAAATCACCTTTTGGAGCATGTCTTAAAGATACCCTCCGTAATTTGCAGTGTTTCGAGACGTCAGCTAAGACCTCAAAACAAACCTGAAGAATTTGAAAGAACTCCAAAATAGCCTAACCCAAAAAAAAACTAAATCACACATTAAAAAAAACTAAATAGGCACTAAAACAACCTTGAAAAAACCCTAAATAAAACAAACCTAAATAGCGCAAGCAATAACTAAACAAACACACACACTTAATAAGAACCCTAATGAAAATCTAAACCAACCCTCAGTAAACTCTAAAACAATCTTGAATAAACCCTAAGAAACCTACAACATGACTGAACCCCAAATGAAACTTTGGGCGAACGTCCGCCCCGGAGGGATATATGTATACGTATAGATAGATAGATAGATAGATAGATAGATAGATATATAGCTAGGTGTGTATACATATTATAATATATACATATATATATATACATATATATACATATATACGATGGATTTTTTACAGGAAAAGCCAAAATATACCAGTAAAAACAATTGAAAACCATTGTTTCCTGCAGACTTGTTCCATCCAGTGGAGCCAGGACAACGCGTTTTGATCGTTGAGGTGACGCGGCGACGCGATGATTTCATGGACTCAGTGGGTGGAACCCCAGAATTCATGCTATAAATTTCTATGACTTCGATGATTTCATGAAAGTTCTGTATCTTTTGATGCGCGATTCTGTGATCATACAGAATCATACAAGACATATATATATATATAGATAGACATAGATCGATACAGTGGTTGGTAGAATCATATTCACCCAGAATGATTGAACCCTGGCTGATTGGTTTGGAGACATACCAAATCAGGGGTGGTGCGACGCAGGTTTGGGGTGGAAACTCCACCCCGGTGAACTTTGGTTAAGCCAAGCCTGACACCTCACCGGGGGCAACCGTTGCAGTCAAAAGCCAAATACTACAGTATATGATTGTTTGTGTTGATGTTCATATTATGTTTTGTTTTTGATATCATACACATGTATATATATATATATATTTGTATTATATGTATATATATATATACATATACATATCTATGTGTAGTGTAAGTTTACATACATATGCAAAAATGTGGACGGACATACCCACACACAGACGCAGATATACATATACATATATTATATTGATGCACTATATATTTATACATTGACATGATATATAATGATATATAATGATATATAATGATATATAATGATATATAATGATATATAATGATTTATAATGATACATAATGATGTATAATGATATATAATGATATATAATGATATATAATGATATATAATGATATATAATCATATATCATCATATATAATCATATATAATGATTTATAATGATTTATAATGATATATAATGATATATACATATATAATGTTATAAATAAATATATATATATAATGATATACATATATATATATATTTAAACATACATAATCATATAGATGTATAGAGACAAAGTACATTTGTGCACGACCCATCGCCGTGAGGTGGGCGACGTGGTGGAGGCAGAACTGGGGAAGCGCCGTGTGCTGGGCGAAATCTGCCAGCTGATTCAGGACAGGGCGAAAAAAAATCGAAAACGGTGGACGGTGGCCAAAGGATAGGCCCCTGTTGATCGTGTTTTTTTGGGGATGGTTGAAAATGGAAAGTGATGATATCCTGAGTTTAAAAATGGCTACTTTCAGAAATATGAAAATGGCCCCAAAAATATCCAAAATGAAATGGCTCCAAAGAAAATGGCACCAAAATATCCAGCATCCTGATGATATCTTTTTCCCGAATGCGTAGCAAGGGTTCCCGTTTCACTCTGGGGGTCTGGGGGTTGAGGGTGTGTTCGCTCGACGTTGCTTCCGCGTCCGCAACCGTTCGCAACCGTCCGCAACCGTCCGCGTGAGGACCGTATGGCCGTGCCTATGGGAAGTTTTGCAGAGGTGGTCCTTTTTGGCGGTTTCAGACAAGTCGTTGCTTCGTTTTGCGTGGCAGGCGTGGCACTTCGTGACATTCAGACGTGTTCTGGAACGTGTCGAAAGTCGTTTTGCGTGGCAGGCGCAATACTTTTGTGACGTTTTCAGAAGATGTGTTGCAGTTTTCGTGGCAGGCGCAGCACTTTGGACGTGTCCATCGTCATTTTTCGTGGCAGGCGCGGCACTTTAGACGTGTCGTGTTGCGTGTTTTTTGCAAATCGCATTGGCAGGGCTGCGTCAAGTGGCGACAAGGTGCAAATTCCGTGGCAGGCGTGGCATTTTGTGACATGTGCTGAAAATTGACGGAAGCCTCGCACGAAACATTGATTTTGAGGTTGCAAATTTTCAGCTTTAAGGAAAACTCGTAGGAAAACGTCGATTTTGAAGCTGCAAAGTGTCAAAATTGGGGGAAGTCTCGCACGAAATGCTCGTTTTGGTGCTCCCACGTGTCTCGTCTCGAGTCTCTGGTTTTCCCGTGGCTTCGCCGTGTCTATGGGGGAAGCTGCAAAACCTGTCCTTTTGTTATGTTGCCAACTGTGAAAATCGCCGGAAGTCTCGTACGAAATGATTGTTTTGGTGCTCCCACGTGTCTCGTCTCGAGTCTTTGGTTTTCTTGTGGCTTCGCCGTGTCTATGGGGGAAGCCGCAAAACCTCTCCTTTTCGAAGGTTTCCAAGGAAGTTGTCATGTCGTTTTGCGTGGCAGGCGTGGCACTTTCTGACATTCCAACCTGTTTGAAATTGGAGGAAGTTTCGTACGAAATGCTGTTTTTTCTGCATCCACGTGTCTTGTCTCGACTCGAGTCACTGGTTTTCCTGTGGCGTCGCTGTGTCTATGGGGGAAGCTGGAAAACATCTCCTATTCGAATGTGTCCAAGCAGGTTGTCATGTCGTTTTGCGTGGCTGGCGTGGCACTTTGTGACATTCCAAACTTGTTTGATAACGTGTCGAAAATATCAAAATTGGAGGAAGTCTCGCACGAAATGCTCGTTTTTTTGCTCCCACGTGTCTCGTCTCGAGTCTCTGGTTTTCCTGTGGCGTCGCCGTGTCTATGGGGGAAGCTCCGCGCTCCACACTCTACACTTTACACTCCACAATTTACACTTTAGACTCCACACTCCACTTTACATTTTACACTCCTCACTCCACACTCTATACTCCACACTCCCCACTTACACTCCACACTCCACACTCTACACTTTCCACTCCACACTCCGCACTCCACACTCCACACTTTACGCTCCTCACTCCACACTTTACACCACACTTTACACTCCTCACTCCACACTTTACACTCCTCACTTTACACACCACACTCCACACTCTACACACCACACTCTACACTTTCCACTCCAGACTCCACACTCTACACTTTACGCTCCAGACTCCACACTCCACACTTTACACTCCACACTTTACACTTTACACTCCACACTCTACACTTTACACTCTACACTTTACACTCTACACTCTACACTCCACACTCTACACTTTCCACTCCAGACTCCGCACTCCACACTCTACACACCACACTCTACACTTTCCACTCCACATTTCACACTCCACACTACACTTTACACTCCACACTCCACACTTTACACTTTACACTCCTCACTCCACACTCTACACTCCACACTCCCCACTTTACACTCCTCACTTTAGACACCACACTCTACACTTTCCACTCCAGACTCACTCCACACTTTACACTCCTCACTTTACACTCCACACTCCACACTTTACACTCCTCACTCCACACTCTACACTCCACACTCTACACTCCACACTTTACACTCCTCACTCCACACTTTACACCACACTTTACACTCCACACTCCACACTCTACACTCCACACTTTACACTCCACACTCACACTTTACACTCTACACTATACACTCTACACTCCACACTTTACACTCCACGCTTTCCACTTTACACTCCTCACTCCACACTTTACACTCCACACTTTACACTCCACACTCTACACTTTGCACTCCACACTCCACACTCTACACTCCACACTTTACACTCCACACTCTACACACCACACTCTACACTTTCCACTCCACACTCCACACGCTACACTCTACACTCCACACTCTACACTTTACACTCTACACTGTACACTCTACACTTCACACTCTACAATTTACAAACTCCACGCTCCTCACTCCACACTTTACACTCCTCACTTTACACTCCTCACTCCACACTTTACACTCCTCACTTTACACTCCACACTCCACACTTTACACTCCTCACTCCACACTCTACACTCCACACTCCACACTCTACACTCCACACTCTACACTTTACACTCCATACTCCACACTCTACACTTTACACTCCGCATTCTACACTTTACACACTCTACACTCCCCACTCCACACTTTACACTCCACACTCCTTACTTCACACTCCACACTCCACACTCTACACTTTCCACTCCACACTGCAGACTGGTAACAAGGGAAACATGTACAAGACTGTTCAAATAAACTATTGCAGAAAGGTATTGTGCGTGACTGCATAACCATGTGTTTTGACATCTGTACCATTAACATACGTGTGAGCATTCGGGTTCGTGGGCTTCATCTTGTTTGCAGCCTGATACTCTGAGTGCCGCGAAACTCACCAAGGCAATGAACGCAAAATGAATCAGCGAAAGGAGGACATGATCTGAGAATAGAGAAAGGAATGATGGACCGACAGGACACACCAGGACCTCTACCAGAGGGAGACTGACCTGATGAGCTACTTTGAGCAGAGGGATGTACACAAAAGAAAGTGATTTTGTGACCTTTGTGAATGGAGACGGGTTTGAAAAACCCAACAAAACCACTGAACCTCCCATAATCCTGATGATATCTAGGGGTGGATCAGAATTTTACCCCAAAAACGTATGAATCTGGCATTTTTTGTGTGGGGTATATCCATTTTCAATCACACTTTTGAGAACCTTAATCGCCCAAATCAAGGCAGATTCCCAGTTCAGGAGCTATTCAGGACCTTTAGGAATCCAAGTTTGACAACCTGCGCAGAGAATTAATTGTATGTTTTTTGATGGATAAGATCCTTGTGTGTGTTCCTCGGTGGTTGAATTATGTCTACTGTAGTGGAATTATAATCATATATATATAGAGTTCCGTTTGTTTGCATTAAAGCATAAAAATGTACGTATGTATATATGTATGTATACAGCGACCCCAAAGAAAAGAAATCAAAAAGTATTGTACGACATTTGAGTGGATATCGGGACTATATACACATTCACCGTCGTTTGAAACTATAAGTCTATAGCTACCAAAACCATAGTTAGCCTGTTTCTAAGCCAACTTGACCATGTATGGGGGGCCCATACATATACTGGCCATGGAATTCCATGAAAACATGTCCATTTCCAGTGCAATTGATTATTGCATCCTGCATCTAGAATTCCATCCCATGAAATTTGATAATTCCCCATGACACCGGGATTGCCCATGGAAGAAAAAAATGAACTTTGTCACAAATCATTTCCATCCCAAGAAATGCGGGGATCAAAGTTCAATGCGGGGATCACAGTATTGTTTTTCATTTTCAGAAATCATCATCCATTTTTTGGGTTACCCACTTTATCGATTCATGTGATGATTCCCGATGACTTGCATGCCCTCCAGTACTCAAACATGGTTTGCTGCAAAATCTGATTTATAGGTAACTTTGCCATGGAATTTTTATAATATTTCCCAGCTAGCCATGTTTGATTACAGGTTCCCGAAGGGTAGACTACCAATCTACCCCCCAGTAAACTAGCATAGCTATGGAACATCACCGTTTTAAGAAGTAAACCATCTGTGAATGGGGCATGTTCCATACAGTTAAGGCCCTTTATCAGTTATATATATATATACGTGGTTATAAATGGTTATACCCGGGGCTATCATTCCATAAATGAGGTTACAACTGACTTATAGCTGGTAAAAGGCCATAGCTGATACCTACGTTAGTTTACCGTGACGGAAGCGCCGATGCTAGGATGAACAGAAGGAATTGAAGATGGTGCTGAGGCCATTTGACACATTGCCATTTGACACAGCCTGAGTGAAATTTATTTCGTACTAAGAGGGTACCAATGTGAATAGCACGATTGCAGTGATAACAATTTTTTGGGGGGGTAACCACCGCAATTGATAGTCAGGATTTTTCCTGAAAGGATGACATTCATGTGGTAAGGTCAACAATCAACCTGCTAATGTAGGCGATGGTTTAAACGACCCTTTTCGGGCGAAACTGCGGATGGGTTAGATCCAAAATCTCGATGCAACCAGGCTTGGGAGGTGAAGCTTTAGCCCATGTTGAGCGAGGTAAGGACTTCGTTGGTTCGTTAAGCATCGTTAAGCCACTTAGAGGTGTCCATAAATGGGGGTACCCCTAAATCATCCATTTCAATGGGGTTTTCCATTACAAATCAACCATTTTGGGGTAGCCCCATGGCCCCATTTATGGAAAACCCCCATTTTCCGTTCATCTCCCCTGGCTGCAGACATCTGCTGGGGCGTTCTGAGATGGAGCTGAGAAACTTGAGCAGGCACGGAGTTGGCAGCAACGAACTGGTGGGTTTTACCAGGCGGCAAAAACCATCACAATGCTAGGTCAATGGGAATATCCCCACAAAATATGGCCTGAAAAATGGATAAAAATGGTACAGTACCTCCAATCTGTTGGATCCTGGAGATCTCCCATTGACTAGGCCAAGATCGGCCATGTTCACTTTAACCAGACTAAGGACTAGGGGGTACAGACCAAAGTTCCATCGATCATGGGGATTTTGATATTAGTCGAATCGAACCAAAAAAACAAAAATGATTGGCGGAAAGTTAGGAAGAAACATCACGAATGGAGGAGGGTTCTATACGAAACAAAACATACAAAGCAATAGCGGGCCCATTGTTACCTGATTTATACGCATAATGTTCATGGTGCAGTGCAGGCTACCCAAATTTTGAAATCGTGCAATCAACATCAAAACTAAATAAACTACTCCCCAATAATGGAATGCATACGTTCTTCAACATTAGTTACCAATGGTTCCATGTCGCTGAGCTATTTGTCGAGTCCCGCGAATCGACCCAGATTCATACAGATCCATAGCGTTTCGCGTGGAAGCCGATTTGATGATTCCTCTTTTTTGGGATGGTTGACCACCCTGTATTCCAATATGTTCTCATCATTCAAAGTATAGTACCAACTTGGAAGTTGCTAGCTACGGAAAAAAGGACTCGCAACATTTCACTACTTTATTCATCTTTATGATGTATACATGTACAAGTGTCCCACTACATAAATTGAACCCCAACTATTCACCCAACAATTATCCAACTACTTGTCTTGTGCATCAACATTTACATGGAGCTATATCATAGATTATAGACTATCATAGTGTATATAGTATATATATATATGCAACTGTGTATATATATATATACTCATCTATATGCATATATCCATCTATATACAAGCCCCAAAGTCCCTACTACATCCCCATTGTTGTGGATGTATCTGCTAACCTTCTTGGTCATGCGGTCGCAGGGAGGCCATTCAAGAACGTGAACTGGTGGACAGCAAAGAGGCGACGTGGGCTGGTTCGATGCTTCCGCGATCCCATTGAGCCATTCGAAATACCCGTGTTGATTAGTTGTTTTTGAGCGTTTATGGGTTTTAACCATCAACAACGGAGATGAAACATGGTATAGCTTTATATATATAAATGATGGTTGATCGTGTTATGATTGGGATTGCACATGGTTACACTACCTGGTGTATAGATGTTAATGAAGGTTCATTGCAATCCATAATTGGAATGATCTATTTTTAGTTGACCTCGGTCAGCTAGATTTCGGTTTCCTAAGTCATGGAGTAGCCCAACAGCTGGATGGTTTATTTCATGGAAAATCATTTCAAAATGGATGATTTAGGGAAAACCTCCATTTTTGCAACCTTAACTACTAATTAATCGTCAATGGTTGATTTGAGTCGCGAATTGCTTAATAGCAGGGTCTTCCGAATGTATAACTATTGCAATGATTCAATTCAGACTTAGCCAATGCCCAGTACATATATATATATATATATATATATATGGTTATTTGTTAATTATTTGTTTGTACCAGTAGTACCGAACAAGGCGGTGGCGGAAGTTTCAAAAATAGGAAACCTATAGGAGAGGTTGGTTGTTGTGAATCACGGATGGCAGAGCGAATCCACTGATGGACCGAAAGGTGGTTGAGATCTCCTCTCTTTCTCTCTCTTTCTTTGAGTACCTACCTATCTACCTATGCATCTATGCATCTATCTGTCTGTCT